TTGTAGTTGTTGTTTGAGACAGGGTTTCTCTGTGTAACAGCTCTGGCTGTTCTGGAACTCGATCTGTAGACCAGGCGGGTTTCAAACAGAGATCCACCTGCCTCTGCATCCCCCCACGTGCTATGATTAAAGGCAAGTGCCACCACTGCCCAACCCCAGCTCCACTCTAAACATAAAGTTATAAAACTTTAGTACACTTATCAAGACCATGAGCTAAACCTTGGAGGTGGAGGCAGGGCTATCCAGATTCCAAGGTCATCCTTGGCTACACTGCAAATTCAAAGCCAGCTTTGAGCTACATAAACCCCATCTCAAAAAATAAAATAAAAGCATTACACATTTACTATTAACTAAACTTCAGCCTTCATTTGGATCTCATATTTTCCCACCAATGTTCAGGATCTAATGCATAGTACCATGTTGCTGGAGACTAAACCCAGAGTTCTCTAGTGCTCTACCACGAAGAAGGAGCAGGGAGGAGGAGGAAGAAGGAGGAGGAGGAGGAAGAAGAAAAAAAAGGAGGAGGAAGAAATGAGAAGGAAGAAAAAGGAGGAAGAAGGAAGAAGAGAAAAGGAGAAGAATAAAGAAGGAAGAAGGAAAAGAAGAAAGGAAGAAGAAAGAAGGAGAATAAAGAAGAAGAGGAAGAGGAGGAAGAAATCCTTGAATTTGAGTCTCTGTGATGTTCTCTTTATGCTTAGACTGAAATTATGTGTGTATGGTGGTGTGGGAATGGAGAACACACAGCAGTGGCATGCTCTCCCTATTCCAGCACTCCAAGAGGGATCTGTTATCAGTATGTCCTGCTAGCTAGTCTCAAATACTTTGTAGGGGAGTGCATGCCACATTTCTCTACTGGAAGTTATTTTCTTTTGTTCATACTTTGCTTCTGGAAGTGGCCAATCTAGAAATCTAACTCCTATCGGAGATACAGGGCTGGCGTGATTAAGTTCCATCTCCTGGAGGAATACTGTAACACAACACATATTTGAGATTCTTGAGTAAGAAAGATGTCTCCTCTCCCCACATTCTATTTGTTCACTTATATTTACTGGTATAGATTTGTGTATATTTCTTTTGTACTTTTGTACTTTTGTACGGCTCAATACTGTTGCTATTCATTTTGTTGCTCAAATTTTCCAGCTTTTGCTGTGAGAGCCCTGGCTTTGTTAGTGGCAGCTGCAGTCTAGGCCGGTGTTTCCAGGTTCTTGGCCTCTCATTCACCAGACTGAAATAAGGGGCTCACACAGATTTGCAAAGAAACACAAACTTTATTCAAGGCAAACTGATGGGACAGATTAGAAAGGAATATCCAGTCAGGATTGACAATGAGCCACAGGAATGGAGGTCCTCAAAGGCTCCAGTCACTGTTTGGGACTTCTTTTACAGGGTTCAAGAGAAGGGGGAGTTGGGTTGCTAAGGGAGATAGTTTGGATGGCTCTACTTTGATTGACAGATTAAGTTAAATAACTATTTCTCTAGTGTGCATGCCCCATCCCATAATACATTTGATTTTAAGCATGTCCAAGCCCAATTATAAATATGTGTAAGATGGCAAATAGATTGCCCTGAAAGTTCACTTTGAAGACAAAGTTTACCTTATTGTGCACCTACCCTAAACCAGTTCAGGCATATGTACTGAGAATACTTTTCAATAGACTCTGTCTATGTTTGATGATTGTTAAGGGGAGGAGGAACTTATTCTATAGTTCAGAGAGGGTGTGCATGCATCTCAGTGCAGGATAGGTGCATTATTTGGAGAGGAGCTGATACTTGTATTGTGTGTGTGGGTAAATGTCTCAGATTTCAAGCACATTGTTAGCAGAGGGGTGTGTGCATAGCCCAAACCAAGTGGAGTCCCAGGTTGCCAAACTACCACCTATGCTTGCCTGCTTCATTCAGCAGTCTGGGGAACTCTGTGTTCTGAGAAGGGGGTGAGGTACGAATTATATATCATTAAAAAATTAGAGCCAGTTAATTAATTGAAAAGCACTGAATTTCTCCTGACATTCCCCAATACTCCTCCCCCACCTCACCCCACCCCCACACAGTGGTTATTTCTTCCAAGGCTATCTTGTGGTTAACTGCTGGCCTGAGCTGCCTCCTGGGTCTGGAATGGCACTTCCCACTTCAGGCGTCAGGCTGCAGGGGCCATGCCCAGTCCTAGTCCTTGCTCCCGGAGCTTCATTTTTCTCTCAGCAGTAAAAGAGGAAGGACAACATCTGCCATGTTGTCAGTTCATCAATTCACAGAAACATGAACGGACATCAAAGGAGAGTGGTCCTGGACCAGTGGGAGTCAGCAATGCTGCGCATGAAACTTTTGGAGATGTTGTTTACTGTGTCGAGTGCCTCAAGGTGGGACAAAAAATAAAGAGCTGAGTTTGGTGCTTTGGAATGGGGGAAGGCTGCCAATGACGTCCACTCTCCTGTCAGGAGAGGTGACAGACGCCAATGAAGCGCTCCAAGAAAATCCAGGGCTTGTCCACAGATCTTGTCATGAAGATGGTTGGCTGGTAAAGATGAGTGACCCTCTAGAGTTGGACGAATTAACAGTGAAGAGGCATATGAGAAATATGTGAAGTCCATGAGGAGTGAATATGGCACCTCCCACTTCCATCCCAAATAAAAGTGGGAAGTAACCTGCGATAGCATGGTTGTCTTAAGTTAGAGAAGACTTGAAATAACTTTTAGCAATACCAATGGATAAATAAGAACTTTTCTCAACAGTGCTACTGACGAAAGTCCCCAACTCCCCAGTGGATGCAGATAAACATAATGTACATATTTTTTGTAAGACCTTAGACTAGAGGCTAAGCCCTGGTGTGCAGAATTCATGAGATTATCTATGGCTAAAAGTTATGAGGCAGGCTGGAGAGATGGCTCAGTGGTTTAGAGCACTGGCTACTCTTCCAGAGGTCCTGAGTTCAACTCCCAGCAACCACATGGAGGCTCACAACCATCTATAGTGGGATCTGATGCCCTCTTCTGAAATAAAGGTGTACTCATATACATAAAATAAATAAATTTTAAAAAATTGCCAGGCGGAGGTGGTGCACACCTTTAATCCCAGCATTAGGGAAGCAGAGGCAGGAGGATCTCTGTGAGTTCAAGGCCAGCCTGGGCTACAGAGTGAGTTTCAGGAAAGCGCACTGGGGGGGGGGTGTTAGGAGGCTGGGTTTGATGAGGAACCACCCTTTAATCCCAGCATTCCAACAGGCCTCTGTTACTTTGAGGATAGTCTGGTTTACATAGGAAGAGTTATGTGGTGAGACCCTACCAAAAAAATAGTGACTTATTTCAGGATAACTATGTTCTCTCATATACTATTATAACTCACCCAGATCTATCCCTGAATCTTTGTTTTATTGTTTTGTCGAGACAGAGTTTCTCTTTGTAGCCCTAGCTGTCCTCAAACTCACTCTGTAGACCAGCCTGGCTTCGAACTCACAAGAGATCTGCCTGCCTCTGCCTCCCAAGTGCTGAGATGCCTGTGCCACCGCCGCAGATCTTGGTCAAAAGACTTGATGTTTCTTCCCGTTAGAAATGCCTGGGAGCACAGGGAAGTGTTGTACAATGTCAGATGAAGGACAGTACTGTCTTCATTTCACCTTGAGCTGCATTGGCTGCTGTTGTTTTCCACAGTGAAGCAGGGACCTTTGCAGCTTCGCGGAAAAAAAACCAAAACATTCATGAGAGAGGGGAGGGGGGGGACGCACAGCGAACTCTGTGCTCAGCGGCTGCCACACTGTCAGGAGGATGTATTTCTTTCCCTTTTCCCACTTCACCGAAGTGTTTTGGGTTCTACAGACTGGCCTGCAAAACTTTCCAGGTCCTTGACCCCTGCCAGGTTTATGTGATGGCGTCCCGCTTCTTAAAGAACTGGTTTATCTTAGGCGTATAACTGTTTGCCGGCAGGTGTGATGTACCACTTGCATGCCTGGTGCCTAGAAGTCCAGAGGAGGACAACCGTCTGGAGGGACGGGTGGTGCTGAGCCACCTGAAGTGGGTGCCGCGAACAGAACTTGGTCCTCGGTTGGGCCATCTCTCCAGGCGCCCCGCCACTGCCCCCTTGAGATAGGGGAACACTCTTAGGGGAGGCCAGTTTGGAACTCACAGTGCAGCTCGGGCTGACCTCCAAACTGCAGCGATCCTTCTGCCTCAGTCTCCTCAGTGCTGAGAGTGCACTTCCAGCTTGGCTGTCTTGCCCTTTCAGTCATCCGAAGGAATAGCCTACGCCGAGGCAGCTCGAGCCTGGGACTCATGGGCTCCACTTACCGGGTCGTAACCTCTAGGGCCTACGCCTATCTGCTTGGAGAAAAGGTGCTGCGTGTTCACCTCCAAGGACTTGCTTTTGTCTCGGACCGTGGAGTGTTTGCACGCAGAACCCGCTTCCAACCTCTGTCTCCCCTGGAGACGCCCCCAAGTCCCCAGGACCGAGGGCGACCCGTCTCCATCCATCCCCACAGCCCCGACACGGCCCGCCGCGATCCTATCCTGTGCGCATGCTCACACCCGAGTCTTCGATTGGTCGCCTAGGAGCGTGGGATGTTTTCCCAGGATGCTCTGCGCTGCTGTCATGGCCGCCCCCGTGTGCCTGTATCCTCACATGGGACGCTAGTCCTGTTGGTGTCTTGACGGTGCCCGTGGCCACCAGACGCCGGCGACCTTGGTCCCTCCTCCTTCTGCTTCCTCCTCCCCCGAGGGGCCCTCGCGGGACCCTGAATTGGGTCCAGTGATGCCGGGGGTGACGTGGACTCCGGAGCGGGCGCTGCTGAGGGGCTTCTCCACGGAGGCGGAGCGGCGGCTGTGCACGCAGGAGGGGCGCTGTGGCCCAGGTGGGGGCTGTGAGGACGGGG